CCAAACCCCAGTATTTGGACATTATTTTTGAAACAGACTAGAAAGGAAAGTAAGACACAAACTAATACAGAGGGATTTACATATTAGGACATGACCTAAAGAGGTAGGTTTTGGATTATGAGTACTTAGCTCGACATATTAGAGTTAATTGTGGACGTTGTTCCTCTTGACATGCATTGTTTCTGTAATGTTAATGCAAATAAGATAAAGGCATTCCCTCTTTTTTTTGGCTATTTGTTTGATTGTCAGTTATACTAAATGCTTTCAGCTTGATATAGATTGCAGATAGATGCCTCTGTTGATGAGATAACGTTCATGCTAATTTGCATAATTGTGCCATATTGATTTGGCACAACTCTGCTTGCATGATTTGTCATGGGGAGGACGATGGCTTTTTTAATGAGTTGCATGGATTGAATTGGCAAAATCGTGCTGCAAAACTGTGAGTAATACTAGGAAAAAAATCTAGCTTTATAAACAACCATGTCTATACTTCTGTTTTATGTACTTATGCTGTTGCCAGTTGGATCATTCTGCATGCTTGTATCTCACATCTCACATGAGCATCTTAGTTATTTACTCCTTTTAACTGCAATTCTGGAATGACGCGAAATATGTGCGGAGAGTTTCTTACCAGGAAGGAGGAGAGTTGCAGAATTGATTTGATCCTTGACTTGACTAACCTAAAGTGCTCTCACTGTCTAGATTCTTGGTTGATGATGATCTGTTCTAACCTTGGCTCTACCCAAACTTTTCGGGTTCACCCCAACATTCCCCACTTGTCCGACTGTTGCTGAGCAGTTTTTGGATATCAAACGGACCTCCCCAGAAGGTAATTTTAATGTGGCCGATTTCCCCTCTTTTGCAATCAGTTTCGCTACAGCACCCGCTGCTCTAGCTAATTGTCCACCCTTTCCAAGTGTGATTTCTATGTTATGTATGGCCGTGCCTAAGGGCATATCGGTTGAAGTAGATTCTTCTTTTGATCAATCAAAACCCCTTCCCAAACTGTACAAGCTTCTTCCAAAGCATACGGCTTTCTGGATGTAGATGATGATATCTATACAGATGGATCTTATATATATCGTAGAATGAAGTNGGGGGGGGGGGGGGGGAGGTCAACTTGATGCGGGAGAGGGAAAGGTCTCTAAATATAGTGATTTTTATGGAGCCAGGACCTAGTGCAAGTTTTCCGAGCTCTAGTGAATCTAAGCATGGCGACGCTGTTTCTTAAAAAACAAATTTTAATCTTTGTCAAGATGTTTCCTTCTAATTACAACAACAACAACATACCCAGTGTATTCCCGCAAGTGGGGTGGGGTAGAGTGTACGCAGACCTTACCCCTGCCTTTAAAAGGCAGAGAGGCTGTTTTCGGAAAGATGTTTCCTTCTGATTAGAAAAAGAAAATGTTTTTGACTCTGAAAGGTAGTAGTTAGTAGAACGTACATTCTCAATCATTAGAAAGGAAATGGTACAAGTACTTTTCTTTCTTCTTCTTCTTGCCTTGTATGTTGGCTTCCCTTTAGTTTTCCATTGCCATGGTTTCACTTCCTAGGGATTCCTTTTCTTTTTATCTTTTGGCTGTATATGAACTGATTCTTTTAAACTTATCAGGGTTGTCAGACTGAACTTCCACATTTTATGCACTTACCAAAATTATAAGAAGCAGGCGTCCTGAGCAGAGAGGTACGATGACAAAAAAGGAGGGAGAATTATCTTAAATGGATACAGTGGTAGGTTTTCAATCTGATGCATTAAGTCAGATGTTTGGTCATTCAGGGAAAACATATACTATGCAATGATGTGCTCTTTCCTTAATGGAGAAAACATATACTATCCAAAGGACATATCCACTTGCATTGGTTCCTATGATGTTGCTCCAGGTCAAATTTATTGTGGTTTCTTTTTATGTCATAAAATGTTTTCTGCTCTTGAAATCTAAGTAATAAGTCGGACAGGTAGGATAAGTGAGAGTGGCCCTGAGGTTTTGATACTGAATATTTTGTTAAACTTTTAAAGGGCCTCTAACTGGACAATTTTGATAAGGTAACAGATTTTTGTCTTTTGGAAATGGTAGCTTGGCTCAAAAGAGTAGCAATTATGTCTACATGCTATATCAGGCCTTTTTGGACTGTGTCCTTTAACTATGCCACTGGATTTCACCGCCTTCTATAATGGCTAACTAATTACTTGTTTACACCTGACTTTCCTGTTAGATAACAGTATCATTCTTGCTGGTTTGAACATCTTTAGCATACTAGATAGCTTGGGATTTTGGCTCTGTAACTTAAGTAACACTAGCCCTCGGTATGATTGGCATTTTCAACATAGTAGAAAGGCATATTAATGTTTCGTATTGTGAAACTTGAAACACCTGCAATGTTCACCCATACTATGCATTAATCTGCTTATCATTGCTACAGTATAATATTTCTGTTGTCATTCATGTATTGTCTAATTTTGTCTGTCTAATTTGTGGACATGCTGCTATGTGTCTTCTAGTTTTTACGCTTAAAGGCATCTGACAAACATTCGCAGAGTTTTGATGCAAATATGATATGGGGTTCAAGCCACCATATGTGGATATAGTGAGAGTAGCCAATGGTGCTCAGCCTCATGCAAAGCATCTTTTACTTTAGTGAAGCCAGGTACGATCAGGTGAAAGCCAGGCTCGATCAGGTGTTCTGTTACATCAAAGAGAAGCCGGTACACTGATTTACTGTTTAAATCTATATGCTGCAGGTCTAGTTGTTTTATATTGTTATCTTTTCTTTTTTACTTTTAACAGGTAGTGTTTGAATTAGTTTGCACGCATCTAGACTATTTCTTACCTCTTATGTCCCACCAACTCAAGTATCGGCTAAATATCCATCAAAGCTTAGGTCAACTAAAAGAAGTCATCTAGCGTTTTTTTGCCTCTGCTGCTATTTGAATTGTGTTCTTTCATGATATTCACTCCTTAGATTTACTGCAAGGTCATACTCTTGGGTGCTAACGATATACTGCTGGCCTTGTTTCGTTAATTCACCGACTTCAGTCAATATTGATGACCCATTATGAAATTTTAACTCGTGCACAGTTCATGATAAAGGCATGGATTGATCCTTTTGGGAGCTATTCTTTGCTTAGTTCCTATGTGTAATGTTTAACTCCACAATGTGAACTTATCAGATTGTATTTTTATATTGACTTAATTTTTGCCTTATGGTTCAAACGTAACTTCTCTACCTTCACATGGTAGGGTAAGCTCTGCTACACACTACTCTCCCTAGACGGCCTCACCGCACTAGGTTTGTTAGGGTATGTTTTTGTTGGTTCTCTAAACTTTAGTTTTGCTCTTTTTCTCCTTTTTTCGCAACTTTTCCGTGTGTTCGGTGCGAAGTTAAAATATTTTCCGTAAGAAAATAAATTATGTTCTTTAGATATTTTTTGGTGTTTGGTGAGTGAGTAGAAATATTTACCAATATTTGGCTGTCAAGGAGGAATACAATTTCCTGACTATCTAATTTAATAAGGAGATGTCACAACTCACATACAATATAACACCAAGAAACCACAAATCAGCAGTGTGGTTGTATCGCTGTTCTTGTACCAATTGTGGAATCATAAAACAAGTACCAAATTATCCACATAAATATGAAGATAAAACAAGCTCAAATGCATTTCCAGTATCGTTATATGTAATAATGCTTTAACAAATAAATTTAGCATGCTATTCTTTTTCCTGTTTAGTTAAATTAACATAATATTAATAACTAATAAGAGTCATTACAGGTAGCAATACTCCTAATAGCAAGCAATTTCTCAAAACGAGTCAAAATATTACATACTGTAAAAAAAGATTTTCTAGTAAATATGGTCCTATTTCTATTACTCTTCGGAAGACGTAAGCAAAATATAGGGGGGATGCTCGATAAATAGTAGAATTAAAATATGTTCGTCTAATTCCTTTCCATAGCAAGTTAGGAAAGACCTTCTCTTCGCCTTCCAAATCTCCTATGTAACAGAGAATTTGTTGTAAAGAAAAAAATAAATAAATTAAGTGCGATAAATTGCGTACCCTTCTCTTTCCCATCAATAAATTATCAATTTGCAAAAAGAGAAGACAGAATAAAGAAGCAAAGCCGCCTAAAAATGTTGGAAAATATAAAACTATTGACATCATATTTGGTAATTAGTCAACGGGGGTGTTGAGAAGAAGCTGGTAAGACTTTCTGGGAATTCTTCTTTCTTTTCTTATTATAAGTATTATGAAATGTAATAATTAAAAATCATCAATTGGGAAATTTTAAGTAGGAATAAAGAAATTGAAAACAAGAATCAAATAATTTTTTGTTGGATTTTACTACCAAACTTGATTTCGAGTTGATTGTTGACTTGAAAGCACACAAAATTAAACTATCAATTCTTGAAAATGAGTCATATTCAATTTCTTCTATCTATGTCGTTCGAATAAGAACATTAAAATTAAATGATGTTCTAATGAAGAACTAGTGTTAATATTGAATCCTAATTAGTTATTGTCCATCTTTTTCAAAATCTTTCGTATGAGATAAAAGGGTGTATTTGGTATAACGGGAAATATTTTTCAAAAAAATATTTTTCTTGGAAAACTAGTAATCTTACTCAACTTTTGGTGTTTGGTATGCAAATTAAGGAAAATAACTTTTCAAGAGTATTCATAAATAATTTTGATACAATGAACATGAAGCCATAAACTTTCTAATCAACAATCTTCCGAACCCACAAATTCCATAAATTTTTGAACCGTTAAACTTTCGAACTCGTAAACTCCATAATTTCTAAATCCGCAAACTCTTAAACACATAAACCTTCGAACTCATAACTTTGGAACATATAAAATTTTGAACCTGTAAACTGAAAAATGGGAAAACCAGAACTAAAAATATAAAAAAATATATTTTTTGCCCCCCGGGG